AGATTCCCCATTATCATGGGTCTCGTAACTGAAGAAGAGGCAGAATCGCTATTTGCATTGTAAGTGACATGCCTCCACCGTCGATGAGAGCTTTGTCAAACTCACCATCTAGCTTCCATGGCAAGCTTGCCCACACCCGATGGGGACTTGATCCCAAGATCTACACTCCATCCTTCACCCGTTCGCGCTCTGCCTTCCTGTGCACCTCTATCATGGCCGCATCGGCCCTATTCCTTCCGTCCGCTGGTGCCTTGTCCAAGAGACTGTCAAACCATTGCAAGACCCTCGCACATAGAGTTATCGCGAACCGACACAAGTCTGTTGAGATTGTGCTTGCATTCATGGTCAACGTTCCGTGGATGTTTCCTGGCCAGCATAGCACTGATGATGAGACTTGCTGGTATGTCAACATGGCTGCCACTATCGCCATTGATCTGTCCTTGAATAAGCTCCTCATCCCAATGGAAGTCGTCGGTTCCGGCTCGAACATGGCATTGTCCCGTGGAGACTGTCTTGATCCTCGGACTGCGCTGGCCATGGACGGCTTCAGTCACATAGAACATACCTCTGATCTCGGACAACGTCTCCTTCGTCGCCGCGAGCGCTGCTGGATCGCTCTCTTCGTTCTCGAACGAGGCATGTCTCTCGCTCGCGGCCGGCCCTATACAGTACCCATCACCCGGGTCATTAAAGACTGCGACCAATGGCATCGGTCCAGCATTGCTGACCCCATGGATGGTCACTTAGTCTCGATGGCTGTACTTCGCCGAGACCTCGACGGACTACTCAACACTGTCCGCGCGCTCTGCGACGGGTCGCAGGGAATATCAACAGACGGCGGTCTCATCGCCCAGTCTATCCAGAGTGCCATTGAAAGATTCTTCGATCAATGGCTAACCGAATGGGGCTATGCCATCGGCACAGGCCCCCAACGCCGATTGCCTCCGTACGTTGAGATTCTCGTCGCCCACACTCGGCTCTCGACGTACGGAGGCGTCATCAACCACCCGACCGCCCCGATGGAAGTCAGGCAATTCTTCCGCACGGCCGGGCTGTCGTCTGCTGTGACGGTCATGCGAGCAGCGATCCAAGGAGAGTCGCAGCTCCAGTCGATCCCGAACAACACGACAATCATGGTTTCGTTTGCAGCCTGTTTCGCGCTGACTCTGAGCGCCTATGCCACGGGCAGCTCCAACTTGGCACCTAGCATTCGAAACCTCATTGAAGAAACGGCAGATGTCTTGGAACGTATTGGCTCTGCTACGAAGCACAGAAATGGCTTGTCCACACTGTACGGAAAATATCTCAGACGTATCGTCAAAAAGGCGGCCACGGCAATGGATGGCCAGCCTCAGACGAGTATGCATCCCGACCCAGCTATCCCTCGCAGCGGTCAGCTTGGAACGCCCTCATCGGCCATTGCAGCCTCGCCTCCCGTCAACATGGGTCCACCAGTCTCGCAGCCACCCTATATGGAGTCGCAGCTATGGCCCGGAACTTTGCAGTTCTCTGCCATGTCTGACGATCAGATTGCTGAAGTCCTCAACCAGCCAGGCAACGAGTTTGATCCCTCATTCGCGGGCTTGTCCTGGGATGACATGAATAACTTTGACTGGTTAAGCTGGCCTAACCTGACAGAATTTGGGTTCTAGAGGAACACCTTTTGGTTCACCATATTGCGCACATCATGCCTTCATAGTTTCAACCGGGGCGGCGAACTGCCATTGCGTCAGTTTTCGCAGCTGTTCCATAAACACAAAGGTCAGGACAGTATTTGGCCTGCAGTACACAGACATCAGCAACATCATTAACATTTCCTTATGGATGCGACTTACGTCAATCTCAGCCACGCCGGAGTCCATCCTTTCATCAAGAAGATTGCACCTTCTTCCCTCAGACCCGCTTGCACAATACGAAGTAAAGACTAGGTTCGATTAGTCAACCGCCTTCGAGGGACTGGGACTGAAACTCTCTACTCACGTTTGCTCCTGGGCCGCTCGCAGCCGCACTTTGAATTCTGCTCTTGAGGACATCAGCTGGCGCGCAAATCGTTGTCGCCGCAGTCCCAGCAAAGAGAGATGCTACGGCATGTGTTTTGATATCATCCTTCATTTCAGTCTTTTGCAGGAGGATGCGTTTCGTTGTCGAGTATCTGTTCGTGCTTTACATTAGTTTTGCTTGATTTCTGTAATCCCCTCACTCGTGGATGTCCACTCCTTTGGCACTCACGTGGCGATTTGTCCCACGTCTATGATTTGATATCAGCTTCAATTGAACATGCCAGTCGTTTCCGAGATTTGCGCTTGACTTACTCATGAGTATACTGCGCACCACGTTGGCAGATATGCCTCGGGTGAATGCCCCAACGCCCTCCTCGCGACCTATCCTGTAGAGGCCCTCGACCGCATTTGAATATGCAAATCGTTCACCAACACTCTTCGCTCCATCAGCGCACATGCGGACGAGAACAACCTAAGTTTTTGTCAGCGGTTGCGATGCACTATGGAGTAGTGCCAGTAGTAGTACCTCAGCAGGATTTCCAACAAGCCCCGCTATGCCTCCGGCCAACCCAGCACACGATATCGTCATTGCCGTAGTCAACTTCTCTTGGCCCGTCCATTGCTTAGCCTGTTGCGCAAAGTAGTTATAGAGACCGAACCGGGCGGTGGAATATGTGGTTTGTCGGAAGATGGATGCTGACAGCCCAGACCATAATGAAAAGAAGCCTGAACAGTGTAAGTGACGATGATGCCGAAATTCGATTTCTGCCTCTCACCATCTCTGGCTGCGAAACGGTACATTGCTCGAAACATAGACTCTCTTGACTTGAGAACCTGCATGCGACTACTCGAATTAGTATCCAATCTACAGTCTGTAACCCGAGGAATGCTCTCGACCTACTATTTCGTTTGGTCCAAAGGATGTGCTGCATTCGCGTGATTAGTAGCCAGCCTGGATACTGCAGTGCCGCTCGACGGCGAACGTACTGAAACAGACTGCCATGGAGGCTGCAGCACCTCTTCAACCATCAGTCAGCTCAAAGTCCAACCTTCAATTCCGGCCTGGAATCGTGTAACTCACCCGAGCCAGAAAGGCTCCTTCTGCTTGCTAGTGCCGGACATCGTGTGCTGATGTTGCTGTGGGTATATGCAATGCTACATGCAACCAAGTGCCAAAGTCGACATCCATTTTCAGAAGCTCGATCTGTGGACATGCTCTTTTGATAAGTGATGCGGCATTGTGGCCATCGATCCCTTGTCTGAGCTTATCCGCCCGCTGTCCGTTGATACGCGCTGGTTTCGTTCGCTTCCCACAATCCCTCGGACTCCAAATGTAGAGCCGGCGAGCTCTCGGCCGCTCGGCGCAATGTTGATATCGTCGAGCTCCAGTTTCCCCACGCTGATGTCACATGGGACTCGTCGCATCGGCACTTCTTTTTGAGTCCGAGACGCACGGCCGAGGGACCTTCTTTTGTCTTCCGACTTGCGGAACCCCTCCGGTCTCGTTCAATTGGGGAAACAAAACCACTTCTGCATCCCACCATCTTGCTTGAACGTACACCTCCTGGTCCGATGGATGATGCGCCCGCAGAGAAAGAACTGAAGCAGAAGAGTTCCCACAGTGATCGAAAACCAGAGGAAACCATGTCGAAGCTCGCGCCGTCGCTCAAGGCACTTATCAACGCGCCTTTTGCCCGCCCCGGCCAGACGGCTGCGCCGTCGCATATTCGCGAGGTCTACCAGGCCATCGCAAAGGATGCGGCGTCGAAGAATGTCGGCGCAAAGCCGTGGCTAACAATTTCGGTACGCCGATTCTTTATGACTTCACAGCTTGCATCGTGTAGCTCAATTGACTACAATTGAGCTGTTGTGACAGTCGTACGGGCTCCGTTATTAACCTCGGTATTATCTTAGGCCGCAGCAACCTTCACACTCAACTCCCCCGAATCTCTAGAGTCCCTCTACAGCGTCGCTTCCTCCTCCGGTCGTCCCGACAAGCGCGAGACGGCTGAGTTCATCCGAGAGATTGGCCTCAAGTGCATCAGCTTCAATGGCATCCCCCGCACTATCAACTGCCTCAACGCCTTCTACGCAAGCCTCCCCAAGGACGTCACGGCACATCTGGAGACGAAGCCGACGCGGACACCAAACGCGCAGAATATTGACGCCATCACGTCTCGCGGTCAGGGACTCTGGGACTCGATCTATGCACCCTTCGAGGTCAAGCTCTACGAGAAGCTGGCGCAATCGCACCCGGATCTTCCGGTGCACATTCTCCACAGCCACTATGCTGGCTTGCTATCGGAACCCAAGGAGCGGGGAGGCCTGGCCAGCGTCGGGAGAGTGCTGACTTCGATGATTGCTATTTCATGCTTGCGAGCACAAACCGGTGTTGGTCCGCAGGTTCTGTCGCACGTCTTTGGCTTGAGGAAGGGACTTGAGGACGGCACATACAAAGCGGACAACCAGGAGGACATCCAGGGCGCGGAGTGGCTGGCTAGCGACGAGGGCAGCGAGTGGATCTTGAAGTCAGTCGATACCATCACGGAGGCCATTGGCGGAGCTGCGAGGTCAAACTTCGCTCCCGGACGCGAGTCCAAGTTGTAGATCGCGGGGACCTGTGGTTCTCGTCGAGATGCTGTACACTACCGGGCTCCAGGACCGGATCATTTAGCCCTTCATGAATCTAAGCTTTGTTTTACATCAATACTTCCTTGCACCAGTCCATCGTATCGTCAAATGTGCTTGATTTCTTTCGGGCAAACCCCGTCGCAATACCAGGGACTGATGTTGGTTGTCCTTACAGGGACATACACTGGAACTCAGGACGCCAAATTCCTTACTCCTTTAGATGAAATCATGAAATGTTGACTGATGACACGCGCATGCTTACGCTTGCTCTGACATTGACATAGGGCGATCTACGAAGCGTTTGGAAAAGCTAGGTCTCATATATGGAACGCAAGAAACTCCGTGACTTTATGAAAGAATATATGATTCTACCCTAAGATCTAGTATGTCCGTCACTTCTCAACATCCGCCTCTTACTTGGCCATCCCTACAGCACCATCTTGAAGTGAGGTTCCCGGTCATCGCCTGTGCCAACGAACTGGTCATACTTCCCGGCAGCCTTGTCGCGGTTAATCTTGGCGCACCAAAGAACATTGATGAGGGTTCTGGAAAATCTGTTAGTTATATCTTCAAGCATGAATACTAGAAAGATTTACTCACGCCACCCACGCATAGCACAGCAAGCCCAAGATGACAGTGTGGCCCTTGTGGTACAACGGGCCATCAGTGCTAGGGTAAATGAAAGCTGCAGACAAAGTCAGTCGTAGTCTGAGGCGGAAACCGTTTGACAACTTACTGGCTACGAAACCACCGCAGTTAGCAATGGCAAGTTGCAGTGCGGATGTTGTCGCGCGCTTGTAGTGACCAGCTGAGTTGTTGGAGTTCCAGACCAAAACGCACGGGACGGCGCTGTACATGCCAATAGCCATCAGGCACGTCATAGCGAATCTCGTCTGTGGCGCCGTGACATTGGCGATGGCTGCGTAGCCCGCGATAGAGATAGGCAGGACAAAGAGCATAAGTGTACCACGCAGACGGAGGCGATCTGATAAGAAAGCCACGAGAACTATGATGGCCGTTAGCTTTGATTCGGATCAGTCTAGTCTTATGCTGCCATTGCTTACCTGTGACTGGAGTCGCAACCGCGTACGGAATAACGGACCAGAGTTGGACTTGATTGGAGTTGGAAGCAATGTGCATGTCGTTGATGATCGTTGGAAGCTTTGTGTTTTTGTTAGTCATACGAGCACAACCTTCAAACTTTTCGATTGACTTACAAATAGTCCAAAGGAGTACAGTCCAGACAGAATAGCAAAGTATGCGGTTGCGCTGAGCCAGATTTGGAGGTTGAAAACGCCACGACCAACTTCGGACCAACGAAACTTCTCTTCCCTTTCGCGTGATGAGCTGCGAAAGAGTCAGCATCAAACAGACATGGGGCGTTAATCATGGTGCTTACTCAAATCTATCTCCAGCATGACCTTGGAGCCTGAGCAGTGCCCATTCCCGTTCTTCTTCGGTAAGGATCTTCGCTGTCGCCAAATTGTTGGGCAACCCGATGGCAGCAATGATTCCGCAAACTACCGTCTAAGATTGCATGTTAGCATCAGCTGAAACAGGCCGCTTGAGCTTCAAGAACTTACGATGATGCCCTCGATGATGAAGATCCATCTCCAGCCCTTAAGGCCGGCCGCAGGACCAATCGCGGACAAGCCTCTCGCGAGGAGACCTCCAAATGCACCCGAGAGAGATGCAGCCGTATAGAAGATACCGATGCGCAGGGCGAGTTCTCCGCGGGTGTACAAGCCGGAAAGATACAGCACCATACCGGGAAGCAGTCCACCCTCAGTCAAGCCCAGGATTGCTCGGACTGCGACGAAGCTGCCGTAGCTCCGAACGAAGCCGAGGCACATGGCTTTACAAAGTCAGCAATCTTAATCATTGGAATTACCTTCCTCAAGAGACTTGACTTACTGACAATACCCCAAGCACAGGTAAGAAAGGGCAGCCATATCCGCGGTGAGACCTTCTTCAAGACGAGGTTGCTTGGCAGTTCGCTGGGCGTGCATTAGCGACCGGACGACTGTGGGGAACCACATGGGACGAGAGCACGTTGACAGCGCCAAGATCAGCTGAGAACGGACGGAAAGATGTTACCTCGCGATGTATGTCGCATAGAAGACAGCCAAGCCTTGGTTGTATTGGTTGTTACTGATGCCAAGGTCCTCTGCTAGGCCAATAATCTTTGCGTTACCGACGTTGGTTCGGTCGAGAAAGGAACAGAGGAAAAGTAGAGCCAAAAGTGGTAGGACCCTGTCAATCGTGGCGTGTTAGTTGAAATGAGCCCTCAAAATGGACACTTGTAGTTCAAGACTTGGGGAAAGCGCTCACCTAGTGTCAACTTTGAAGAGCAGAGTCTTTGTGAGATGCCGTTGACGTTCTGCTTCAACCTCTAGGTGGCTCTCATCATGCTCAACCTTGGGGTCCATGTCAAAGTCCTTCGAAGTCATACTGAATTTGGGGTAAAGTTTGGCAGTGTAACCTTGGGAAACTCTTGGAAGAAACTGGAAAGACGAGAACAACAGTCAAAGACAAGACAACAAGACCTGAGTTCCTATCTGCCAAGCAAGGGCAAAGCTTGGGGGTCCCTCCCCCGTTTTGAAGCCCGTCTTCCCCAGATCCCAAATCTGCGGGGGAGGACGAACCCACGGCGGGCAGTATCTTAGACCATCCCCGGATCGTCTCTCTGACTTTGCCGTCATCCCGTCCAGACCAATGACAAGCCTCTGTTTACTGTACGCCAGGAAGCTGACTCGGAGTCTACTTCTGATCTCCGAGAGCTACTGCAGAAGAAACTCCGAGTTCCCACAACTCCCGGTGCCCCGCCATGAAGACGTCAGAGACTCCCCTGTCTTTGCCTGCGTCTTCCCCCTCATGCCGAAGCCACTGCTAGACCGCGGGAGCGGAGGGGCCTCTTCGCAGTCGGCGTGCAAAAGAACGGCCGAGGCGTCCCGCGCAGGAACCCGTTCAAAAAGATGAGGTCGCGCCCACCTAACCCGAACCTTGAAATGCCCCCCCGACTATCGGCCTTCCTTTTTCTTTTACTTGTGCTTAATCTTTGGTCTCTCGTCACAATTGACTGAAACCTTCCCTTTTGTGTTTTGTGGATAAGCCTGCCTCTCCTCCAGAAAAGGACCGAACAAATGTCTTCCATTACTCGCCAGTTGCGCCCGCGGGTGCTGGTCCGCGCATCCTTCAGAGCTGTGCCCGCAGTGTGTGCGCAACCTCAACGTTTCCCCCGCGCAAAGGTCCTTGGAGTTACGACATGCCGGGGCATAACGACGACACCGGTCCGCAGATCACAGAAGGCGCCTGCCACGAAGAGAGGTGGCTCAAAGCTGTATGCGTCTGCCGACGAGGCTGTCGCGGACATCAAGAGCGGATCAACTATTCTGAGTTCGGGATTCGGGTTGTGTGGTGTTGCTGGTAAGTTCGATGATGCTCTGTCTGCAAGGCTAGAGGATTGGGATATGCCTGACAGGTTTGACAATAGACACAATCATCGGTGCACTAAATCGCAGAGGCCCAGAGAACCTGCACTCGTTGACGGCAGTCTCAAACAATGCCGGTCAAGAAGGCAAGGGTGGTCTGGCTGTCCTCACCAAGGCTGGCCAGGTGAACCGCCTGATCCTCTCATTCCTTGGAAACAACAAGGCATTGGAGAAGAAGTATCTCACTGGAGAGATCGGCATTGAGCTGTGCCCTCAGGGAACGCTCGCTGAGAGGATCCGTGCCGGTGGTGCTGGCATTCCCGCCTTCTTTACCCCTACTGGAGCTCGTAGGTAACTCTTCTTGGAGATACGGGGAGCTTAGCTGACCCTTTCGTAGACTCATTGGTTCAAAGTGGCGACATTCCCGTTAAGCTCGATGCTTCTGGTGCGGTGAAGGAACGCGGCCGCACGAGGGAAACGAGAGAGTTTAATGGCAAGACGTATCTCATGGAGACTGCTCTGACTGGCGATGTTGCTATACTGAGAGCATGGAAGGTAGACACGGCTGGAAACTGCGTGTTCAGGTATGTGCATCACTCACGAACAGCTTCGACGCAATGAGAAACACTTGCTGACTGTATGTTCGCGCAGGTACACTACCAAAGCATTCGGACCCATCATGGCCAAGGCCGCAACAGTCACCATCGTCGAAGCGGAGAACATTGTCGAGGCGGGCGCAATTGACGCCAACGACGTGGACTTGCCCGGCATTTTCGTGGACCGAATCGTGCCCTCGACCGCCGAGAAGAACATTGAGATCCTCAAGACGAGGGCAGAGGTCGGCGAGGGTGAGGACTTGAATGCGCCCAAGAACGACGCGCAGGCGAGGCGCAATCGCATCGCGAGACGTGCGGCGAAGGAGTTGCAGGAGGGTTTCTACGTGAACCTTGGCGTTGGTGAGTTGGCTCAAGCTCACGCCCCACGAAGTTTGAAGACAGATGCTGACGATAACAGGTATCCCGACTCTTGCTCCCTCATTCCTCCCGGCCGAGCGCAACGTTTGGATTCAATCGGAGAACGGAATCCTGGGCATGGGTCCCTACCCAACCAAGGACCAGGTCGATGCGTAAGTATACCCACCTTTGAAAGGAAGTGAGATGCATGAGCTGACATGTCCAACTCTAGCGACATTGTCAATGCTGGCAAGGAGACCGTCACCCTCGTCCCCGGTGCTTCAACATTCGATAGTGCCGAGTCCTTTGGCATGATCCGTGGCGGCCACGTGGATGTCTCTATCCTCGGTGCGTTGCAGGTCAGCGCCACGGGGGACTTGGCCAACTATATGATTCCCGGCAAGGTGTTTAAGGGCATGGGTGGTGCGATGGACTTGGTGTCTAACCCCGACAACACCAAGATCGTTGTCGCGACTGAGCATGTTGCCAAGGACGGCTCTTCCAAGATTGTGCAGGACTGCAGTCTGCCGTTGACTGGTGCTCGTGTTGTCAGCACGATCATTACTGATCTGGTATGTGGAGTGTGGTGATCGATTGAGAGATTCGTTGCTAACATGACGATAGTGTGTCTTTGAGGTTGACCGCAAGAATGGCGGCCTGACACTGACTGAAGTCGCGCCCGGTGTTGACATTGAAGAAGTGAAGTCGACGACGGACGCAACATTTGAGGTCGCAAAGGATCTCAAGACGATGGAGTGAGATGGTGCTGTAATTGTAAAACCTGTGTTTAAGATACCACTAGAGAAAGCAATGCACTAAACGATGCAATTCATTTGTATTTGTCCATTGGCAAGTGTTGTCATTCGTGGCTAATAATACATTAACGTCTATTGTGTGGAAGTCATGAAAATCCAAGCATTCGTCGGCAGTCGTTCTCCCGGTGCGCTTGACAGAGATTGAATCGCGGGGGGGGTATCATCCAAGTTTGGGCACCAGAAGTATTTAGGAAATCATAGGAGAGCCCTCTAGTCGCTGCTGGAGCTGGAGCTGCTGCTACCGCTGCGCTTGCGGTACGGGTCCTTCTTGTGCTTGTTCTTTTTCTCCTTCTTATGCTTCTTCCCCGCCCTAAAGTTGGTTCATGTTAGTCGTGCGCTTGAATGATTGAATTGAACAGTAGTCAGTCACTCACTTCTCCAACATGTTTGCACCAACAGCGCCAGCAATTGCACCGCCGAGGGTTCCGAGGAGACCGCCACCGGCCTTGTGCGCCGCCCATCCGGCCGCTCCGCCACCGACTAATGTTGCACCGAGGCCCTTGTCCTGATCGGGACCGCCGGGACCAGCACCATATTGAGGCTGGCCGCCGTATTGAGACTGCCCGCCGTGCTGAGGTGCGCCATATTGCACTTGCTGGTTGTGAGCAAAGCTGTCTCGGTTATCGTAGCTTTGCTGGTGTTGGTTGCCCTGGGCGTAGGTTGGTTGTTGGGGTCCGCCGTATCCGTGCTGCTGCTGCTGATGCTGCTGCTGCTGGGGAGGGGCGTTATAGCCACCGCCCTGCTGGTACGGGGAGTGCGACTGCTGGGGGTAGCCGCCGCCACCGTGGTGTTGCTGGCCCTTTGAGAGGTGTTAGTACTGCTGACCTCGATGTTGCTTCACGTTAACGTGAGGACTGTCTTGAAGGTCTTACCTGTGCATAGGTGGGCTGCTGAGGGGCATAACCACCCTGGTTGTATCCTTGCTGGCCTCCGTATCCCTGGTTCTGGTTGTGGCCGCCGCCGCCGCCGCCGTAGTAGTCGTTCGCGGACATGTTGATGATTGAGGGTTGGTGAGGGTTGAGAGAAATAGGTGGGTAACAATGTGTCGCAGACGTAGTAGGTATCGATTGAAGTCTGACACCTATCTTATTGAATGAGCTGAGCAAAGCAAGAGCCGAGAAAGAGGGGAATGTTGAAGCTTTATAAAAAAGCGTCAGACTTGCTTACTGCTGAGTCTCGAAGGAACGCTAATCACCTAGTCAGACGGAGCTTGCGGAAATTGGCAGGGACGGGCACAACATGCATACTACCGCAAGCAGCCCACCGCGGGACGGGGATTGAATCTCTCTCGACTTGTTCCCAGTCAAGCTAAGTTTCTTCCCCCGCTATCCATCTATGGAGCATGGCCCATCAACCATAGAGCCACCAGCGTTTTGCCCGCGCCCCTCGGCTCAGCTTCTATCCAGTCGTCATGTCGCCGTGGCGCAGTCACTGCGCGGGGTGCTTAACGTGGTTGTCAGCCCTGCTACAACCTGCAAGCAACAGGCCGTGAGCTGATGGGCAAGCCACCAATGACGCGACCCCATCCAGTCTGCCGCTGTCCGCTGTTGCTGTTGGATAGTTCGCATTCGGTTCCTCAGGTGTAGAGTGGATGATGGCGAATCAATGACTAACAGCTCGTGTTCCGTGGATTGTCAACTTGCCAAACGCGGAAGTTGCAAGTCTCATGAAGCCATCACGATGTCTCCAGTAACAGTTCCTGTCATCATCTACTTATCTTGCAATCGTCAAAGGCAGTCACCGACATTTAGCGACCCAACTTATTGGTATGGGTCAGTATGTTTCGCGGAGTAGTATCTCTGTGATCGGCTGAGTCCGTTTCAAGAAATGGATCGGACGAACTCTCATTCTGGCACTCTCTAGCGGTGCGGCCACTGCCACCCACCTGCTGTGCTGCTGCACGCCATTAGCTGTTGCATGCCCCCGGGAAGCACGGCCAAGATCCATCATCCAGGTTCGCGTATCCCGTTGCGACCCCAGAATAAGATGCAGGGGGGTGCCGTTGAGGGGAGTGGAGTTGGGCCGCAGCAGCTGACCTCGGCGTCTCCGGTCGCGGCGCGGGTGGGGCCGATTGGCCGACCTGGTCCCGGGGGAAAGGTCCAAATTGCCACGGCGGATTGGCGTCTTAGCTCCGAGAGTTGGACGTCCCCGAGTCCGTTGGTATCGTCGCTCAATCGTCTGTTTCTCTTCTATTGTCTAGTCCGTATACTAGCACTCAGTGTACTGGGCTGAATGAGCATAAGGTACTCCGTAAAAGTAGATCAGACATGACCCCGATCCTAGCCGTGTGCACCCGCTGGTCTCTGCGACGTACCTATACAACACAAGGAACCGTGTCATTCCAACCGACTACCTTTACAGTGATCTCGCATTTGTGAGATAGCCAGGCTCATCCAGAGACCTTCGGCCGTTGATCCGGATGAAAGGATTACAAAAGGTATACCCTGATTGGCATCCAGGATTTGGAAGAGTGTCTCACAAGCTTCTACGCCAGAGCGGTTGTTGCGGGGTATTCAACGCCGTCGCCGTGTAGCGCGATCGGATGATCTATAGCGCCTGGGTTAGCATGAGCCAACACGTTCTACTCCAATATCAATGAGGCGATCTTGCAACACTAGTCGCGTGGAGGAACGGCAGTGCTGCTGTATATGAGAACTCTGGAAGCATTAATACCTGTCTTGTTCCTATTCTCAGGATTTTACATGCCTATGTAGTAGATATTTCCATCCTGAAGATACAGCTTTCAAGTAGCAAAATATATCACACCAAGACGTCATGACTAGCATCATCAACAACGTTCTTCCAATCGGAGACCTCTCCACCCGTGCCTATGTGCGGTGGGACGCGAAAGGGGTTGAAGAAGTGCCTCCAAGCGAAGCAGAGGACATCCAAGCCGTTGCTGAGATGATCAACGAGGGACAGCGCAGAACTTGGAACTCGACACGGCATGGGTACGGCGGTACTCATGCCAGAACACAGGGTATCGTTAAAGGCACATTCATCGTCTCTGATGACTTGCCTCCCCACTTGAAGCAGACGGAACTGTTCCAACACGGCGGCGAGTACCCTGCAGCCTGCCGTTACAGCTCAGAGCCCGGTGACCCGGGTCTTGATGTGGGTATTCGCTGATATACATCGTTCAATACAGTGTACATAGCTAACTCGTTGCAGGATCGCATCCCCCAACCCCGGGGCTTTGCCATGAAGCTGTTCAACGTCAAAGGAGAAATGTTTGAAGCCGGCAAGGATACTCCAACTCAGGACATTGAATTCAATAGTACCCCGGCCATTGACCTTGCTGATGCAAAGACCACAAAGGAAATTATCGGGCTTCGGCTCAAACATGCTGGCAACAAAGAGGAATTGAATAAACATCTCAACGCTCGCCAAGACGCCCAGCTTCAGCTCGCCCGAGACCAAGTCCGAAACACTCACCTTGAATCCACGCGACAGTATTCACAGACGGCGTACCGGTTCGGAGACTACGTCATCAAGTACTCCCTCGTCCCATCCACTGAGACGCAGAGAAAGCTCTACGACGAGACTGTGAAGCCAGAGCATGACGAGGCCATCCTGCAAAAGTGGCTGCAGAATTTCCATGCTCATCACGATGCGGAATATCTCTTCCAGGTGCAGCTGCTAGAGAACCTCGGTGATCAGCCTGTCGAGTACTCAGGTGCCGTGTGGGATGAGTCAAAGTACCCCTGGCAGACTGTCGGCAAGCTTGTGATTCCACAACAGGACAGTTTTGACTACGAGAGGAAGAGATTTTGGGAAGACTATGCTCGTGTTGATCCATGGCATGGGTTGAAGAGTCTTCAACCATTGGGTAGCTCGAACAGGCTTCGGCGGGCAGGTAAGTCGTCCATCTTACAATAACGGTGTTAGAACGCCCTGATACTCCGGATTTAACACTCTCAGTCTACGCTGCGAGCAGCAGTATGCGCCGCAAGCTCAACGGGGTAAAAGAGGTCCAAGTCAAAAGTATCAATGAGATACCTAATTGAAGATCTTTCCAGGCATCTGAGCAGGTCAGAGACCGGCGGCGGGCCAAGGGACGCCGTCGGCTGTTAACTTGTGTCTGAGCCATGATAGATTTTATACGACGAACCATCTAGTATTCATCAGCTGTAATATAAATTGACAATTGCTATTTCCCATTCAAATGAGCGTATTCTGCTAGTACCTGATGTTGACTTGGACTTCTCCAGGTCGGCCGAAACAATGAGGTGACTTCTCAAGCAGCATCTTAAAAACCCTATGATGTCTCAGAAACCAGAAACACCAACGACGAAATCCTCATTTTGCCTCTTCAGAACAATGACTCAGAAACCTTCTTGCCAAAAAACCCATTTCCTTTCCAACTTCCTAAACAAGCGTGTAAATATTTGTCACACAAAATCCCAAGATCCACCTAACATTTCTACGAGCAGCACGCATGGCGAGCCCTTGCCTTCGATTGTCGAAGTCCGGCATGTGTCAGTGTCTTTCAGAGATACAAGTATCAAGAGAGAGAGGCTGCTCGTATTCTAGGGGCTTCGGCCGCAAGCAACTGCGATCAGAGTTCTCGCTCAGCGTGAGCGTGACACAAGTCATGGTGTTTTTGGCTCTTAAATCCCATTCCAGTGAGGAAGTTGATTGACAACTGTGTGTGTTTGAAGGATTTTTATCATCTGTTGGATTCCCTCGGTCGTAGCGAACTTCTCCAGACATCCATGCCGGATCAGAAAATCGATCATAACGAGTGCGGAGTTGGGCTTGAATTTGTCTTGGAGAAGAATTTCAATGATTTCCTTGACTGTCTTCGGCTCGATGATTTTGACTTCTTGTGGATTGAGCTTGAATACGGGATCCACCGCCACTTCCAGGTCGAACGGAATTTTGACGCCAAACTCAGGGGCATTAATAAAGGCTTCTCCCCACCGTTCATCCCGGACGAACGCATACTGAATAGGAGGCGCTGACGTAGCTTCTTTGAGCCACCCAGCTGATAGACTAGTAGTCAGTTCCTCTTTCACTTCCCGTCCAAGACATTCTCTTGCAGACTTGTCGTTGAATAAGCCGTAGGAAGCGTTTGAGTACTGATAGCCTCCAGCAGCGCACTGATCGTATGCGCCGGGAAAGGTCGACTTCTCGTCCGAACGTCTTGCAACATAAATTGTATATTTTTCCGGATCATCTCCGTCGGGTTTGTAGAGATTCAGATGAACGCCAGTGGTCACGATGCCGAAGATGGGAGACAAACCACATATGAAACCAGTTAAGTCACCGGCACCGTACAAGGGCCACATCTCCTTTTCGTCACTCCAGACGGCTTGGGGAAATTTGTTTTTGGCGTTATTGTTTTTCGGCGCAAGGATCTCCCGGATAGCTTTCATTGCATTGACGAAAGTCTCCGAATCCTTCATATTGCCCGGATTCAGTTGAATACGCTTCTGTATTGTTTCGAACGAAAGATATCTTTTCAATTCCGTTTCCAACTCCTGGAGAAGTTTGGCATGGTGAGCGGTAACCATGCCCAGTTTCTCCCAGTCTCTTCCATTATTGTAGCCGAATTCCCAGCAATCGGGTGTCTTTTGGAAAACACTATAGGCTTGAACGAGTTCAAGTAGGTTATTGAATTTGTGGGGTGGCTTTGGTATTAACATGGTGATTGCCCGAAATTTTGCGGTTGATATGAAATTATTTTCCACTGATATTCTTTTTGGATAATTCTGGGAAGATATGTCTACAGATTGCCTGCAGAGTTTGGTGTTTTGGTTTGCTCAGTCAAAGTATCGACGGTTTGCTGCAACGTTTTGCTAACGACTCTACAGCACAGGCTCGTCGCCATGGCAGATTTAAATACATCCCGTAGAAGAGATGAAAGACATTGATAAGTCTATTCAGGATCGGTTCCTTCGACAAAGCCGCAACTTCGTTCGCTTACCGGCGTGCATATTGGGGGCAAAGCCGATGCTTAGCAGCTCACTAGCTCCCATCGGAGTGTCTCCCAACAGACGCAATTTTTTCAAAAAAGCACAATATCGGCATGAGACGACGTTGGAGAGCTATTCTCCTTCCGAAGACAGACACATTGCCTTCTCTGCGTCAAACTACCTAGGTAAGGAACACATCATTCATTCAGCAGCCTGGTATGAATGACATCAATGCATCACGGTGTTGGAAGATGGGTACAGCTGTCACTGGGTACCGTGTAAAGACTGGTTAACGATTGCTAGGCTTTAGGTCCCGAATTTCCTCTGCTCCTGCGCTAATGCACTTGGGGTAGATTTCTTTCTAGCTTCTGCTTCGGCGCTGATGACTACCTCTCCCCATTTGGTGCTTTGATCAAGTCCATTTCGGGCAAGGGTTAGTATTGAGCGCTCACCTGATTATATGCGGACATGTATTGTGTTGTCTTCTTGGCTGTATTCACCACAGATCTTGGTAAACAACAAAGTGGGAGTTAACTCGGACTTTGATAATCAGATACCTCGTGGCCACGAGCACGTGTAACGGGAGCCTTGAAGGGTGTTCAAGGTGAAAGAAGCGCATTGTTCAAATCCTTTCGAGGTCGATATCTGGTGTTACACCAAGTTGAGTGTAGATGGTGACTTAGTACTGTGTGACACTTGGGTTCTGGCCGATGATGGCCTCACGCCCAAAAGGGATATCCGGGGGCCTTTCTCGGTAAACGTGCCAAGGCTCGGTGTATCCCGGTATGCCTCGGTGTAGGTACCGACCCAACTGCCGGTTGAACATTTAGCCCCGGAACCGAGCTCAGAGCTCTGCGTGTGGTTGCCGAACCCAATTGCCATGGTATGCGGGTCCCCCCACCTCGGCTTTGGGGATCAAGCTGGGGAAATCGAGTGGAAGAAGGGGAAGAGCTATTCTCCCTGACTAGCAGTACATCGCTCAAGCTCCCCCGGTTACCAAGCGACATCGCTCACGTTTACCCGACTCTTTTTCGAGACAGCCTTGGCCGAGGGCTACATTCTAAACTTTGTTTCCTTTTCTCTGTACAACAAGTCTGGTTTCCTAACAACATCTCTAGTCAATTGAAGGCCGTAGCTCCGAGAAACATCACAAACATGTCTATCCCCAAAGGAATCTCGTCCGTCTTGAAGAAGGCGCCCTCCGACGTTGTCATTCTGTCGTCGCTGCGAACGCCCGTGTGCCGGTCGAACCGTGGACAGCTCAAGGACGCATACCCCGAAGAACTGCTGTCGACCGTCCTCAAGGCCACCCTCGAGGCTAACCCGAACCTCGACCCCAAGAAGATTGAAGATGTCGCCGTCGGTGTTGTCCTCTCGGAGCTCGGCGGCTCCAAGGCGGCGCGCATGGCCATGAACCACGTCGGCTACTCCAACGACACCTCCCTGTACACCGTCAACCGTGCCTGCTCTTCATCGCTGCAGTCAATTACCCTCATCGCATCGCAGATCAGGACCGAAACGATATCAGTTGGAATTGGCGCCGGAATGGAGAGCATGACCCGCAACTACGGCAGCCGTGCGATCCCCGTGGACGTGTGGCCCGCCCTCAAGGAGTCGCCGGTCAAGGACGCGAGAGACTGCGTCATGGCGATGGGTCTCACATCCGAGAACGTCGCCGAGCGCTACGGCGTCTCGCGTGCGGACCAGGATGCGTTCGCGTTGCGCAGTCACCACAACGCCTCAAGGGCGAGAGAGGACGGTTCCTTCGCCAAGGAAATCGTTCCCGTCACAACAAGATTCCAGGAGACGGACAAGCAGGGCAACAAGGTCGGAGAGGAGCAGACAATCACAGTCACCAAGGACGACGGCATTCGCGCCAACATGGCAATCGAGGCCCTCCAGAAGCTGAAGCCGGCGTTCAAGGCCGACGGTGCCAGCACGGCGGGCAACTCGTCGCAGGTTTCCGATGGCGCCGCCGCGACGCTGCTGATGCGCCGAAGCACCGCCACAGAGCTGGGCCTCACCGACAGCATCATCGGCAAGTTCGTTGGAGCCACCACCGTCGGATGCGCTCCCGATGAGATGGGTATCGGCCCCGCCCTGGCGATCCCCAAGCTTCTGGGTCAATTCGGCCTGGAGAACAAGGACGTGAACCGCTGGGAGATCAACGAGGCCTTCGCCAGTCAGGCGATTTACTGCCTGAGAGCGCTTGAGCTGGAACAGGCTTACGAGGACGGCAAGGTCAACCCCGACGGTGGGGCTATTGCCCTGGGCCACCCTCTGGGTGCCACCGGTGCGCGCATGACGAGCACCCTGCTCCACGGTCTCGGAAGATCTGGAGGCGAGGTCGGTGTTGTGAGCATGTGCGTCGGCACCGGAATGGGCATGGCCGGCCTGTTTGTAAGAGAGTAGAGTGTTAGTATAAAAATGAAGTTACCAGCATATATCTGTACTGCGCGCCGATCGATCGGAAATTCCGAACCTATGCCCTCCGACTCCTCGCTCCTCCGGTACTCGCAGCGCCAAGTCTCAACGACCGTCCCCGTTGAAGTCTTTTCACCATCCCCAGTTGCGACCCACGTTGCTGTAAGGTATTCTATATAGGGTCCTATTCTTAACTAGGGAAGCGCTGTCACTCTTCGCTAATCTGGCGAGATCAGTAGCAAAAGTTGCCGGCCTTCCCCGTTCGGCATCGCCTCACCAGGTGGGCCTCGTGCATTTTAGCAGGATCGACGCATAGGTGGATTTCCTAGGTACGGCAGTCTAAATGGCCCTAATACCTCCTGCTTCGCTATATCTTCCCACTTCCTTTTGAGGACTCTATTGAAGGGGTAGACGCGTTGATTCAGTGCAGAGAACGTGTATCATGGAGCTGAGAAGCCAGTCCCCCCCACAAGGCCTTGCTTCATCTTCACCAAGTGGTTGCAGGATAAGCCCCGTTTTCTGAGAATGCCACAAGGCAGATTGCATACTCATAGCCAATCACCAACGGACAAGACATGGAGGCAATCAACCCATCGAGGCGTTCTGTCGAGCCACATGTGACCTTCGTGTAGGACGATCATTGGTGCATTCCCCATCGCTTGAACGATGACTGCAGCGGCGCAGATAGGTACTCGCATCTCGAAAATCAGGCTGTGAGCAAGTCTGCTCAGGCGCCGTGTCTTTTCCCTTCTTCACCCTACAACCCCGCGAACCATCCTTCCAGAGAAATCGTCACTCTGTCTGAAAACTCGCACAACACTCCTCGAGCAACAAGAGAAATGGAAGTTATTGGGGCAGTAGCGAGCTTCATAGCCATAGGTCAAGCTGTAGGCACCGCTCGCCATGTCGTCCACATTGCCCGAGCAATCCCAGAGGTAGAGAACGAAATGAGGTGGCTTCACAACGAGGTCTGTGGCAACAATATTATGTCAAGCTAATCACTAGAGATCTCAAACGGGAGAACGTTCGTGTGCTGACCTTTAACATGATACTGTAGGTCGAGGCTTTGAGATTGATCCACGAGGAACTCGCCAGGGTGGGAGTCATTACCAATGATTCGAAATTCAAATCACCGATCCTAGAAAATTCCATGCTCCAGCTTACAGAGTCTACGAGAAGGCTCGAAGAAATTCGAAAACGCTGCATACGATCACCCAGTGCCAGAGGCAAAGACAAGGTCAAAAAGACAGCATGGTTCTGGCTGCAAGGCGAGCTGTCCGAGTGTCGAAGTAAAGCGCGAGACGCTAGAGAGAACCTCCAACTTGCGCTCCAAATAACCAATACCCAAATCATCACGTAAGTCTCATGCTGTCAATAGGTTAACAGTTCAGCCTTTTGAAGCTGACAAAATCGCCTCGTGCTCTAGGAAGCTCACTTTGCGCATCGAGAGCATGCAGACCGTTCCGAATGTACAACTGCTTGAAGACTCTACAGGAACTGGAGACGCTGAGGACAGCCCAATAAACATGGATCAGAAGTCTTCCCCCCGTGCTGAAGACATGGGAAAACTCCAGAATGACGAAATTCTACAAGCCGTAACTGGGAAACAAGCTCAACGACTTTTACCGAGTCCCCAACCATCGGCAACCACTGGCCTAGCAACTACCAAGTCTGCGAGTGTTGTTGTCCAGACGTCAAGCTTTCTGCTCAATCGATGCCCAATTCCATGTTGTTGTCGGTGCCATGCTTCGAAGCCAGTCTCGTACAATCCCACGAGATGGGCTTCAAGCTTGGTGGGCAGTCTGAATCTCAGCTTCAACCGTCAATTGACTTTTCGAAACAGCACAACATGCAACGAGGGTAGCTGCAGAAACAAAGCAGGAACATCAATGACAGTCGATTATCAATCTCCGAGTTGGCTATGTTCCAGAGCAGTTCAAATGCAAACCTTAGTGGGCGTCACGACTGGGCTGCGAGTGTCACTTAGGCCTGTCAGGATTATGTCCTTTGCTTCGACGTTTTGGAATTGCACTTATGATGGTTCTCCTTCGAGCTCGAGAGAAACAGTTCAACAGTGGATTTTACATAATGGAAAGGTATTTCCAGGTGACGCAGACCCTAGAGGCATGACTGTCTTAGAGGTAGGCCTTCCATGAGTTGTTCCTGCTGGCACAGGCATGATTAATGAAACAAACAGTGGGTTATCAGTAATGGATCAACTGAAGTCGTCCTCTATTTGTTTCAGATCTGGGAGGACCAAATACTTAAAGGAAGCTATGATGAGTAAGTTTGTCAAAATTTCGAAAGCAGTAGATTCTGAGGAGTAGCTACAGATTGACCATTTTTGTGATAGCTCTTGGTTCTACAGGGCGCACCGTATCATTGAAGACACACCTTCCCTGCCCGATGAGGAGTTGCAAGTACTTCGCCGAATTTTGTCTGCTGGAGAATTGATGGTGAATGCCAGCCAGACCCCGCTGCATGATGCTCTTTCCAAGGGCGGTTTCGACGCTACTATTCGAGCTGCAGGAGATTTCAGTTGGGCCATGAATCAGCGGAACTATGGAGGCGACACTCCGTTACACATCGCTGCAAGACAGGGTCATCTTGATAGCGTCAAACACCTCGTGCATTTAGGATGCGATATCAACGAGGTCAACTGGGAGGGTTGCACTGCTTTAAATATTGCTTCCGAACGCGGCCATGTTCTCACGGTGCAATACCTTATTGATGCTGGTAGCTGGGTGAATGCCACTGACAAATGGGGCCACACCGCGATGGTTAATGCTGCCTTTGGGGGGCACAAAAATCTTGCAAAAGTCATTCAAGCCTTAATTTGTGCGGGGGCATCGGTAAATGCTACTGACAACCAGAACTACAGTGCCCTACACTTCCTAACGTCGCGTGGTCACGACCGCTATACCACCCAAGAGTGCTTGAGGATCCTTCTGGAAGCCGGCGCTGACATCGAATTACGAACTAAAAATGGGAGGACCCCGCTTTTGCTTTCGATTCATGAAGGAGATCACGCTGGCACACAGTGCCTGATTGAGGCAGGAGCTAAAACGACATGCTTAACAAGCCATGGTTGTGGTTTGCTTCACGAGGCAGCGTTCTATGGAACCACTGAGCTGCTTCGGTACCTTTCAACCCTGAATTTAACGGCCGCAAATCCGGACTTGCTTGACAACTACGGATATACGCCTTGGGATTGCTGGATTCACTCCTTGCATCTGCAGGATTGGAAACGTGGGTGGGTCTTAAAACTAACCCCAGAGCGACAGGAAGCTTTTGTTTCATTGTTCATATCAATCAGAGACAGGAATTTGACTGCTGATATAGAGCGACTGCTCTGGCTACTCCAATATGTGAGAGACGAGGACCAACGAGCCGCCACGGCTGCCCTAAGCCCTCTGATCAAGCAGAAAGAAGAGTGGAAGCAATGGGAGATCCTTGGTACATACAAGACCATTGGTTTGCAGATCCGAGAACAGATGTGGGAGGCAGCTGTGGAGTCAGTTGAAGAGGTTGTTGACATGTTACGAGAGAAAATGGCCGCATCTCCGTGGGACACCAAATCGCGGTGGGATCCCTGGAGTGAGACAGAGTCAGAAGACGAGGATGACCATCAGACTGAATCCACTGGATCCGAAGATGAGGAGTGGGATGACGCTGCTGGCGACGACGATGACGAAGAATGAGGTGACACGGTTGAATTGTAAACGCAGAAGGGAGTTTCGAGAGGCATAAAACATACATATGGATAAGTTGATTACATTCAAGCTCTAAAGATACAGCCGAGTTGACAGCATGTCAAGGAACATAAATCAAGTAACCGGTCTCGACCGGACCCCAACCGACTTCTTTGCTGGTTGCAACTCGCTGTAGCTTAGCAAAGCAGCGCTTTATGCAGTGCTCAACAAAATATTCTGGGTGAAATCGTCGTCTCTTCGTCCTTTGTTCGTGGTCGTCGTCGCGGTCGACACAGGAACCTAGCCCGGACCGCTCGTATAACATCTAGTTGTGGCGTTAGATACTGACTTGCCGTCTACTTACATGACCGAATACCAATACAGCATATCTGCATTTCATTATGAGTACCTGAGATCCATATCAATCGCGTTGTCGGTATTTCTCATCTGGGTACATGGAAGCATCGTTGCTGAGTCGATTCAGGGTTGCTCAGTGTCCCCGTGACCTCTTTGATGACAATGCCCGAGAAAGCAGGCCACCAATCGTGATTCTAACCACATGTCCACATCCCACTAAACAACCAGAACCATGACGCTCAAGAACGCAGAGGGTGCTGCAGTCCCTGTCTACTATTGTGCCATCGACAGTCCTTAACCTCCAACCCCCCACTCAGATGTCCACCTCCCATTCTCCATGCCTCCGTCCTCGCACCACCGTAGTCCAAGATGCAGTAGTGATCCACACGACACGTTTCCGAACGAACCAGGTTTCTCTCTTTTGACGCACCTCCTCTACATCCCCGGTCCCAGAGTCCCAACACAACAGGCCCTAATGCCACTAACCCCAACCTAAACCCAGCACTTTCCATTCCCTCGGGCCTTGGCACGCGGGGCTCTATTTCCCCATTTCCACAGATTGGGTGCTGTGGGTTGCTGCTCTCGCTCCAGTTGCAGTGGCTGACCAACTCCAACCTCTTCAGTGGCGGCGGATGGTGGTGGTGGTGGTGTTGATGTTGGTGGTGCTTCGTGGTTTCGACTGACTCTTGTCTTCGCACGCTATCTGCTGCTTATCCTCCAGACTGCTTGTCTCATCAAACCCCCCTTGCCCTTATCCATTCCCATCGACCGCCTCTTTCTTTCTTCTACCTTCGGATCCCAAATCTAACCCCCGAGAACCCCGCGTTTGCTGCCCAGACACGCGGCTCCGACTTGTTGGAATCCGTCGCAATCTGGTCCCTTCCCCATGGGCTCTTCCCCAGAACGCACCCGGATCTCAAATGTTGCCCCCGCTGATCCAGTTACCCCGGATTCGGGGATCAGTCGTAGACATGACCTTTTGCGTGGGGTATCAACGATGCAACAGTCTTGAAAAGTTCATAAATACCACGTTTCTGCTGATTGTCCAGCATTTCGGGTTGGTCTTGACAAAACGAAGCAAGAGACTGACTCCATCCTCGTTTATGCTTATTTCTTAGACCGCAACTCTCTTCACCGCAGAGTTTAGCCCCGCCGATCCCTCTTGTTTTTGACAACCCCCCCTTTCCCCGAAAAACAGACTTTGCTGGGCGCACAATCCGGTCCGCGCACGAGATCAATAACATCAAATTTACAATGGCCGCGAGCGAGAAGCGTTCTCCTTCGGTGGAGCGCGAGGAGCATGCCATTCATACCGTCGATAGTGTCATCATGGACGAGAAGCCCATTCCTCAGGATGAGGAGAACCGTGACTGGACCGGGTCTGCGAAGAAGACCGATCCGGAGGAGATCAAGCTGGTGCGGAAGCTAGATTGGCGGATCATGGTAAGCCTCTAATACCCCTTGATATCACAAATGCTCGTTCGCAATCTAACGACTCTTTCAAACAGCCGACACTCTGCATTATGTACTTCTTGAGTACGATTCCCCCGCTCGATATCTCATCATCATCACAACGTATGAACTGACCAATCAGACTACGTCGATCGCAATGCCATTGCCCAGGCACGACTGAACAACCTGGAGAAGGATTTGGGCATGTCGGGAACGCAGTTCAACACCACAGTTTCGATGTAAGAAGCAAGATTTTCCAGAGCATAAGTGGTAAAGGGCGAGAAGGAAGGGTTGTTACTAACAGCCTACAGCCTCTTTGTGGGCTACGTCCTCATGCAGATCCCATCCAACATGTTGATCACCAGAATTCAACCTGGCATGTACATGAGCGCGTGGATGTTGATCTGGGCTGTGGTCTCAGGTAAGGAAACTATCAGTTAAGAAAGTGCTCGTCAAGTCTAACAGACATCTAGGATGCACGGCACTAGTCCAGAACTACGGAGGTCTTGTCGCTTGCAGGTTCTTCCTCGGTATCACCGAAGCTCCCGTAAGTTGCAACAATTAGCATCGAGCTATGAGATTTTTGACTTACACGACATAGTTCTACCCAGGCGCAACCTACATGCTATCAATCTTCTACACCCGTAAAGGTCAGCATCCCCTCCCTCTCTCCATTCAACCCCTAAACCCATCAAGTAACACCCCCCACAGAGGTCGCCTCCCGCATAGCCCTCCTCTACTGCGCCCAAATCCTCGCAACAGGCCTCTCCTCCCTCATCGCAGCCGGCATCTTCGCCGGCATGGACGGCCTCAACGGCATCGCAGGCTGGCGCTGGCTCTTCATCGTCGAGGGCGCCGCCACGGGCCTCGTCGCCCTCTTTGGCTTCTGGCTCCTCCCCAACACGCCCCTGACGACGCGCTGGCTCAACGACCGCGAGCGCGAGCTCGCGCACTCCCGCATGGAGAAGGATAAGCTGTCCGACTCGGATGACAAGAAGGCTTCTGCTATGGATGGGTTGAAGCAGGCTGTGAGGGACAAGAGGACGTGGTTGTTCTGCTTGATGCAGAATTTCCATTTGAGTGCTTGCAGTTTCAACTCTTTCTTCCCTGTGCGTTTTACTACTCTTATCGCTGTTTTTTGAAGGTGCATGGCTAATATAGAACAGACTGTTGTCAAGACTCTCGGTTTCAACACGACCGTCACCCTCGTCATGACCTGCCCGCCTTTCATCTTCGCTGGTGCCGCGGGTATCTTGTTCGGCTGGAGTTCCGGCCGACTTCACGAGAGAACATGGCACATCACAGTAGGCCTCGGCGTTGCAGTTCTCGGCTTCGTGGTGGCGGCCTCCACCCTCAACACAGCGGCCCGCTACGTTGCCTGCTTCATCTTCCCCATGGGAGCTTATGCCGGTTAGTCCTTGTCCTTTCTCTTCAACCTCTAAACTCTTTGCTGACTTTTCGTGTAGTGAACTCTGTCATCATCGGCTGGGCTTCTTCGACACTGTCACAAACCAAGGAGAAGAAGGCAGTCGTCCTCGCCATGACCAACGTCGGCGGCCAAATTGGCTACATCTACGGCGCCTACCTCTGGCCCAAGAGTGATGAGCCCCGCTATGCCATTGGTTTTGGCGCGTCCGCTGGCTTCGCCTTGCTCTCGATTCTCTGCGCGTGGTGGATTCGTGTCTTGCTTGTCAGAGAGAACCGAAGGATTCGGGCTTCCACCTCGGAAAATGTCAACTTGTATGGATACTAGGTGACGTAGCAAGAGCCTTTTGTAGACGTCCGAGGTTGGCAGTGTCATCATTGCCCTTTTGCACAGACTGGAGGCATGAATCAATTCAGCTGCTGGGACTATAGGGAGCTATGCTGCCATCGTGAGCGAGGCATGTGAGCATCAAATATGATACCATGGAACTTGAGTGGAGATCAGACTACTCACTGTGATGTATGTCCAAGACATCAAGTCGTTCTTCGTGCGATCGTGCCTCTAGCATACTCGTCACGGTCATCCTCCATTGTATCTAGTCTTGTATCCCCGGCAAAATATAGTTCAAGGCGAGAATAGTTCTAGTTTATTGCTAGTTCATTACGATGGTGTAAGGTATTTGGTACTTACCGAGTCATCGTAGGTTGTTCACAACAACTTTCCAAAGCACAACAGAATAAGGCCGCGTAGTCTAGCAGCATTGATTAGATAGGCGCGGTTCCCCAAGCACCCGATCTGGGCTCAAATAGCTGCGTAAGGTAGGCTCGCAACGCAGCCCATATAAGAGACCTCATTCCTAGCTGTATTTGATGTTGCTACGAGGATCATTCAGGGATCCTAGCCACGCTCCAAATACGATAAAGGGGGGTTTTCGGTATCCGTGTTTGACTCATAAATCATACAGCTAGCACGTCCCGTCAAACACCTTGGCTGATTATATACAATAGGGGCTGGGAGTTATGGAATGGTCACCCCTTTCCCATGATTGCATGTGCCGCAGCATACCCGTTCATTCACCGAGACGAAACGTTGTACATCATCAAACTTCAATTGACCGGGTTCTTTAACTTCTCCGGTCAATGTAATCAAATCTCGTTCTGAAGAATAACAATAAGCAGCGGAGGGGACGTGAGGAGGATGCTCTTGAAAGTCCACCACTCCAGCTATCTCGCACGCCTTTTTGGCCTACCTGCGAGTCTTATGGCCCTAGACGGGAAAGTATGTCACTCAAATATCAGGGGTTAGTTGAATCGGCAGGTGATGGAGTCTAAAGATCAATTTTGTTTCACCGGCTACAATACAGCGATAACGAAATGTATTTCGATGCAAGCTCCCTCTGCCCTCATCCATGTTGAACAAAATGCGCAACATCATGTACACGAAACATTGAACCAATCACTTGGGTTGAGCAATACGAGTCGTATCTATCGATCTCATATTCTGGCCCAAAATGATCGGGAATTCTGGCAGTATCATGCGGCAGATACGTTTCGCATTCACAGATGTCACATGTCACGAAATCAGCATTGCCATCGAGCTACTTTCATGACACATCATCCGCAAATAATGAATGAAAGCCGCCATGACATGTTGATTGACGCAGTAACTCCGAGAGATAACTAGTCTACAACAATCGAGACGACGCGATAACTCCGATCAACGTATCAAGCGAATGCTCATCAGTCTGAACTTGAGTTATGCGTGGCATCATCTACCACAGTTGATCCAGGGGTCCCGGCACACTGATCAAATCGACATATCGGCTGCAATTAACTGTTCGCTGACGACTGGGATAGCCATAATCTTGGTCCGTTTCAAGCCCGAAGTACAAAAATGCTAATGATTGAGTTATCAAGCATCGGGACAAACGTTACCTGGTATGACGTTAAACCTTGGTATCCTCCCTCAATGCTATCAGGGACGACACGACTCATGCTATGGAACGAACCCGCCGGTAAGACCAACGCGTCTTCGCGTCTAAAGTGTGCCTGAGTGGGCGGCCTAAACCAGTTCCCCATATAGACACCATTCGCCTTACGGGGCGGGCCGGACGTGGTCTGGAGAAGCGCATCACCTTATTCATGTGCCTTAAATCAGGCCTTCAGCGGCACTCACAGCGTTTTGCCACGAATAATACATAGGCCGAGGTTTCCGGGCACATGCACGATCAGTCATCACACGACTCGATCATCCCCCATTGGGACAGCATCAGCCATGACCCATCTGAACAGCTTGCCGTTACCAAGTTGCGGGGGCGGAGCTCGAGTGGTTCGGATGGTCCTTGCTTGTCCTAGACCCGTGATGAGGCCTATGTCCGATCAGGTACGGGCCCGGGAGAAGCATCGTCTTAGCCCCGGATCTTTCAATGGGGCGGAAATGAGCATTCTACCTGCCGCGAGTTTGCCGACATCAACATGACTTGTGTAGAGTTGGGCGCCTACATGAAGATGAAGAAAGTTGAGTCCAAGGCAAGGCCAAAAAGTCCGCACGTGGATTCCGAGGCTGTCGATGCAGTTGACTGATTGTCAAACAAGACAGAAACTTAATGGTCATTCTGCTAAGACCGTGCTGCTGCCGGTGCGCAGTCACGCAGTGCAGGCCCTTCTCCAGGTTCATCATTTGTTGTTAACGGTGGGGAGGAGCTTCTGCCGAAGGGAAGAGACCTGAGATGGTCACGCTATTCCCATTAGGGTAGTACTTTTGGCTGTGAGTGTCCGGGTCATCGTCGGATCTCATCATGGGTAGAATTGGAGCGGTTGTGACTTTGTCAGACGGCTGCTTATTAGTGATGCCGGGAAAAGACGGAGGTCGGCAGTTTCTTCCTCTCTCAGCAATAGCAGGCCGCAGCTATGTCAACTTGTGGAGGGATGGGCGTGCCATCGGGGCGATCCCGGAGTCCGACTGAATGATATAAAAATGAATTGGTCCGACTGGATGCTAAATCACCAAGACCCGGGGTTTTCAGGCTCAGGCTGACGCACAGCTCTGAGAGGGAGCGGGTGTGGTGCGGGTTGCAGGGCCGAGCAGAGCTGGATGTGGTGGACTGGGCTGGGCTAGGTGTGGATTTTACGGGCGGTGCGATTCTCGCGTTGCGCTGCGTCTGCTTGGCTGCGTGAAGGGCGGTAGGTAAGATTGAGTGTGGGGGTTGATTCTAATGCTGGTGAGCGTTGCCCGGTTGGGTTAAGTGATTTGACAAGTCACGTTTTTGAGTGCTTCCTGTCCCGTTTTCGAATTCGCGTTCGTATTGTGGATACGGTAGACATATTAGTAGAGGAGCCGGCGCAATCTTGACAATTCTGTCTGTACGGATACACAGTACTGAGTATGCGGGCTCGAAGCCAAAAGGCGAAAACAGGCATCGAAAGGACGACGTGCCATGTCACCCGTTATCCAGCAACTCTGAAATAAAGGGACCGCTGCCGCTGTTGGGTGATTGCGTCTTACGTTTGGAAGACTGTCGCATCTTTGCGTCGATACTTGGCGAAAATTGAGGAGGAACAGGATGGATGCCATCATCCTTGTACCTCCACGAATTTGCTGCCGCCTGCCGCTTGTGAATAGCCGCCACTCGGGGTGGTCGCATCGGTGTGATGATGCGCCAAATTTGGCACTTGGGGTTGCTAATGGAACACATGGCGGACAGTAGTGACGGATCCGGAGAACCGGTATTGGGTCGTGATCGCGTGTTTCCTGGTAGGAATTCAAGCGTCACCATAGGGGAATCAAAAGCCTCGGTCCATCGTGTTCCAACACTACGGATGTCGATCTCAGCCGCCGATATCTATCGATAATTCGATATCGGCCAAAGTTCCGACGGGTGGTGGAACCCCGAGACCACGGAGCCGTCATGAATTCCTCGGGAAGAGGCACCCGTGACGATATGGATGATGTAGGTAGGGCAAGGCCGCAAGTGGCGGGGTCGGACTCGGTGTTCGTCCCCGATGGTGGGATGTTTGGTTGCTACTGAAGCCTCAGCGTGAGGGCTGTTCCCAGAGAGCTTTCTAGACCGCTTGGTGGTTTCCTATTTGGCTCGTCTGGTGTGAGGACGGGAGGCTTTTTGCGAACGAAGGCCCTGGCTTGTGACTAGACTTTACGTGGTACGCCGTCAAACGTCGCTTAGGACGAAGGTTAGATCGTCTTGGTGTTGGGACGAGTCAGCAGACAGACGGTGGTCTCTGAGCTCTGAGGGGCAACTCTAGGGTCAGAAAGTCTGTTGTTTACTCCTTCAGTGGTGAGACTACGCTAAGACTTTGTCTCGCGGCGACTGCTGTTGATGGTCTGGCGTTGCTGTGCTTCCATCATGCCATGTGGATTGCGTGACCCGGCGAAAACTACAAGGGGAAGAATGTGCCGTCAATCTCGGAGTACTGGTGCAGCCCGCCCGGTACGCCCTCACGGTCGGAGTGGATGACTCCAGTCGGAACCGGGAGATAGATCTCGGACGAAGCTGATTGATTGATCTAGACGGGTCTACTGTAGTAGTATGTCGAACCCGCACCCTAGGAAGTATTGCTCCAAGTGTGCGATGTTGAAGCGCCAAACGGGTCAAATGCGCCGCGACCCTTGGGCCCTGGGCGCGGTGGGCGAGGCATGTGGGAATCCGAGTGATGCAGATCTGGCGAACAGGTCTGCGGTATGGCGGCGGGTCAGGGGTGGGTGCGTTTGCCGTAAATCGTCGTATATCGGCTGCGCTGATCGCCCAGTTGGAACGGGCTGCGACGTGGCCAGGATCGGGTCAAGGCGCACGCTTACCGAAGAGAGCGTGAAGATATTTACGGTCTTGTATTTGAACCATCTGTCTGTCTTTTTGCTGTCTCGATGGGATTAAAAGTGTTCACAGCGATGGTCTCTTGCACTATCAGGTCAATCAATAGGGATCAGCCTGAAGACCAGACGCTTACTGCGAACTTTAAGCTCCGAGGTGATTGGTAGCGGGCAGGACGCCTAGCTGCTGTGAGATTGGATTGGTGAGGATGAATTGGTGAGACGTATTTCTTCAGTCGCGACTCGAGAGTGCGAGGTGTCAAGCGGCAACCCAACCGTGGACCGTCAAGCGTTTTCGGTGGCCGGTGACGGATGGCGAGTCCCGGCAGGCGCAGGTGTGGGGCCAGTCGGGGGAAAGCAGGAGCCACCGTGGTCAGGCTCACCTGGCACCTGCCGCCTGCCTGGGCCGCTGCGGGTTGTCGGGGTGCTCGAAGAACCCGAGACAGGCAAGCACCACGTCGCTGTGGCTCCCTCGCTTGCGGCTCGTTTGGTGTCCACCCCTTTTCTTCTGGTCAAGCGAGTGGTACGTATCGACGAGTGGCTGCCTTCTAGCTCCATGTCAAATTTCCAATTGGACGCCGAGCGGGTCTTGCTGCTTCTTTGATGGGCCACTACGGGGATACGTACTCTGGAAATGGGGCCGTCCGAGGGAGCGGGAACTTGTGAACTCTGGCAATCTGGGCAAGAAAACACTATGCGGGCGAGGAAGGAAGGTACTCATCCAATTGGGAGCCACAATTCACGAACGAACCGAACGAGAAGAGAAAGTTACGAACGTCGCAGGAGCCAACAGGGAACGCTCCCTCCTTTCCTGGTGGAGATCTTTTTGCTGGTGCTCCGCTCG